GTCTCTTGCAAAGTTTGGAGAGAATTTTATCAACTACCCACAACATGTAGTGTGGGATAAATGACTATTTTGTTCCAGGCTTTAAAGGCAAAATTGGAAAACCTTCCCATTCTGTAGTTATTACCAGGGATTAAGAACGACTTTCCTGGTGGCCACTGGCAGTTTTATCTCCTCCAGTCAGAGGAGTGGCTTCCCTGTCCCTCCGGCCTGGACACGAAGGGCAGCAGTGACCCCTCCTGGCCAGCAGAGGTGGTTGCCCGGAAGCCAGGCTCTTTTTGCCTTCCAAAGGAGTGGGTTCTCTGGGCCCCAGGCTCATTGTAAATGATTGCCCTCAGAGTTAGGGGTTCTGGGGCCTCCTGTTCACCCATGGTTTAGGTGAGAATACTCAGAGTTTTCGCAGACCTTCAGGATCAGTGAGGCCAGGTAGTCCCGGGGCCTGCCTCCGCTCTCAGGCCAGAAACCACCAAGGATGCCGGCGTAGGGGCCCCCACTGGGGCCCACGTTATCTAGAGTTCGTGGGCCCCTTCAGCTGCCTTCCCTGTTCTGCCTGCATCCCGCTACCCTTGCCTGCCCCGAGTGGCAGCCCAGCTGCCTTGCTGGATGGCCCTGCATCAGCTCGGCCACAGAGCCAGGCAGGTCTCGGGCTTGCCGCTCCACTCCTGCTGAGGTCATTCTGGCTGCAGATAGAAGCACCCCCTGCCAGTCAGACGGGGGGGCCCGAGGTCTTGGGCAGGTTTGTCCCAGGGCAGCCTCCCACCCGCCTGGGAGCAGGAGCCCACAGAGGGAGGCGGGACGAGATCGGCCACCACTCGGCCCTTCCTGCTGGCTGGTGGGCAGGCTGCTGGCCACCTCGCACAGCGGGCCGTGTGTGTGGACTGCCTTTCCTTAGCCTCGTCTCCGCGTCTGGAGCACAGGCCGGGCCCTGAGCCACCCGGGCCCCTGCCATGCTCAGCCCCCGGTTCTGGCGCCTGCGGGCCAGCTTGCCTCTCGGGGAGCTGGGGTTTCCTGGCTCCTGAGCGGCTCTCGCTTTTAAGCCGACTTGGGCTTGGTCTGTTCTTGTTTTCCAGTTTGTTCAGATGGTAGGTTAGGCGGTGTGAGGGTTTTCTTGCTTCTTGAGGAAGCCTATGTTGCTGTGAACTTCTTTCTTAGAACTGCTTTTGCTGCATCCCATAGATTTTGGAAAACTGCTTTTATTTTCATTTTTCTTAGGTGTTTTCTGATTTTCTCTGATTTCTGCACTGACCCATCAGTGTTTTGGTAGCATGTCGTTTATCGTCTGTGTGTGTGTTTCCCGTTTTCCTTCCTGTGATTGGTTTCTACTGCCAGACACCATCCTGGTTGGAAAAAAATGCTCAATACACTTTGTATCCTTTTAAATGGGAGGAGATTTGTTTTGTGGCCTAGCATGCGACCCGTCCTGGTGAAGTTCCACGTGCACTTGAACGTGTATTCTGTGTTTGGATGGAATGTCCTGTGGGTATCCACTAAGTCCAGCTGGTCTAATTAAGACCCCACTGTCACTGATTTTCTGTCTGGATCGTCTGTCCACTGATGTAAGTGGTGTGTTAAAGTCTTCTATTGCTGTGTGACCGCCAGCTTCTTTGTCTCCTTCCGTCAGTGTTTGCTCTACACCTTTCCTATGTTAGGTGTGTACATGTTAATGAATGTTGTATCCTCTTGTGTTGTGTTCTTTTATCGTTATACTTTCTTCTGTTAAAGATTTTAACACAAAACCCACTGTCAGGAGGCAGGAAGTGAGAACTGATTGTGGAGGGAGGGAGACGAAAGACCTTGAAGATGCTGCCCCAGAACTGAGACGGGAGCCGTGGGCCACTTACCCATGACCTCCCCAGACACAAACACATGTTTAAGGTGGTCCCTGAGTCTGTGTTCATCATGTCCCGTTCCCACAATTTCAGAAAGTGGGCAGGTGACAGGGAAGCTCTTGAGCTGCGTCGAAATGGCGCCTCCGTGGAATAGTTTGCTCTCAGAATTCCTGGGCAGGGAGGAGGCATGACTATAATTTTCTTCCTTGAGAGAAGGGTAGACTGTTTTAGGGGACGGTGCCCGTGGAGGGGCAGCTCCAGTGGATGTGGGAACACCCTGGCCCCTCGCGGGGGTGGGGGTCACTGGCCTGTAGCATCAGGCCTCCAGCTCTAACCCTCTGTGCTGCTTGTGGGAAAAAGTGGAATTAAGGGTTGGGGGGCATGGTTCCTAGGATGCTCGCCTGGCTGCTGGGGCTTGGGGGACTCACCCTAAGGCTGTACCAGGCCCTTGGTGGCTGCTGGCTCAAGCGAATCAGACACAAGTGAGTGACTTCATTGTTTTAATCCAACCCACGCCCCCTCTTCCACACTGCCCTCCACCCTCTGGCTAGTCCAGATGTGCGTGGCTGTAAATTCTCAGTTATTTAGGAGAACAGAAAGCAACCATCAGTTCCTGTGAAAGTAAGAGGTGGTTGCAAGGCTGAGTTTCTAACTGTAAATTTGGAGTTGTGGTCAGGACCCGGCCCACGGCGCCAGCTAGACCTGCAGGAGCAGCGCCACGGCGGCCAGGATCCACTTGGCTGCCTTCTCTTTGGTCTTCAGGTTAAAGGTCCAGACGTAGGTGGGGCCGCGGATGCGGGTTTTGTACACCGGGCACTCATAGATGTTCTTGGTTTCTGTGCGGTCCACAGGGATGGCCTTGATGAAGATGACGGGCATGGCCGGCGTCAGCTCTTTCAGCCGTGCTTCGGCGATGACTCCGGTCTGGGTGTCCCAGCGAGCTCCTGTGGGGACAGGGCGGCCGTGGTGAGACGACTGGTTCCTGTCTTGTGTGTGGGTAGTGAGGGGAGGGGCCTGGCACCCCACTGCCCCTGCAGACATGGGCATCCCTAAAAGCGGGGCTGTCAGAGGACTGGGTCGGGGACAGCTCAGCCCTGAAGCTCCTGGAGCCCTTGTTTACAGTTGTGGTGTTTTCAGAGTCTCAAATACCTGTCAGCCTCCTTAATTAACTCCAGCTGAAGATTACAGATTAACGCTCCGATCCCCCTCCGGTGTACTGTCGGTCCCACGTGCCCAAACGTGGTGTAAATAGCTATGTATGCACATGGAACTGTTGTTGCCTTTAACCAGCCTGCTGCTCTTTCTACTCACCCTATCTCATGGTGGTTTCCTGTCTGTAATTCCAAAATAAACATGGGGAATGGCTATGGCGATTTGGCTGTGGTGACGTGGGCATTGGGGCGCCCAGACACCCCCACAGGTAAAGGGGTGATGGCAGTCGCTGAGATGGACGGGTTTATGCTGGAGTAATTGGCTAAGGAAATGGACCGCCTGCCTGGTGGTCCTGTCTGGCAGGATTGGGGTGACATGGGCGGAGCTGAATGAGCACCAGCCTTGCATGTCCCCCCCACCCTCCGCTGGGACCTGGCTATGCGAGGGCTTCCCTTCCCTGGAAACCTGGTCCCCAAGATGGGCAGTGGCAGCACCTTGGCTCGGAGAGATGTGGACAGAGGCAGAGGTAGGGCCCTCTCAGATGGTGTCCCCATCCCCATGGGCCCAAGCACCTCCCCCTGTGCCCCCATTACCTTCCATGAAGAGCCCGTACACGTAGGAACCCTCCCGAGGGGGCGCAGTCATGTCCTCCCGGCTCTTCTTGGTCACCTCCACGGACAGACACATCTTGTCCAGCGGCCACTCGTTCTTCCTGGCCATGGACTGCATGATGGCCGTGAGGAAGGACTGCGGGTTGAAGAAGCCGGCCAGCCACACCGTGGTGGGCAGCGCGAAGTCCGTTGTCCAGGCCTCGAGCTCCTGGAGAGGATGTGAGGACAGCGCTGGATCCCCACGCCCCGCAGGGCGGACCGAGGTCAGGGGAGGGCTGCCTGAGTCGCCACTTCACTATCTGGCTCTTTCTTATTAAATGTGCGGACGGGAAGAGCAGGGCCCAGGAGGGGTGGTGGTTCAGCGACAAGAGAACAGGGAGGCTGAAGGAGGCGGCTGCTCTCCACCCCTGCCGCCCTCAGGAGGCACTCGCCCTGACGGGGTTCCTGGAGCCCGGCCCTTCCAGCCCTGTTCTGACAAAGGCCAGGCCAGTAGGGGCCTCGGGCGGGTGGGGACGCACATTCCCCCTTCACAGCGCCACTCCCCAGGCTCGGGGGCAGGTTTGCTGAGAGTCAGGGCAGCGGCTCCTCGGAGGACTGTCCTTACCCTAATTCGGAGCAGCAGGTCAGCGTACCAGGCCGCCAGGCCCATCATGGAGGGGTAGGCCCGGGCCATCCACGTGTCGGGCACGGTGTCATAGAACAGGGCTGTGGACAGGTCCTCCATATCGGTCGTGATGGTCAGTTCTCCCTGGGGGTCACACGGACAGGGTGCTGGGGCGATCGGCACAGATGCAGACCCAGTCAGTCCCAGGCCTCGTTTCATCCTCTCCCAGGAGGTGCCCCCCCCCCGCCATGTGTGTCGTGAATTGGATGTAGGTCTGTTCAATACTTCAGAGATGCCCAGTGGTGCCCACTGCTCCAAACCAGGGAGCTCAGCGGGCCGAGGCCCAGTGGCCCGGGGCAGCTGGTTTTGCCGCTGAGCTAGGCTGGCCTGCGGCGGCCAGTCCCCATTCTGAGTCACGCCCCGGGTCCTGCCCACAGTGTCTTTACCTTCAGCCCCAGGTTCAGCTCCTTTAGCGAGCGGCGCATTTCGTTGGTTAGGATGTTCATTCTTTCACATTCTTGGAAGGCCACGACCACGTAGGGGGTCTTCTCGGATGCCTTGGCCATGATCTCGGCCATGTTGAACGTCTCCGGGATCTTCTCCAGGATCTCGTCCAGCACGGCCTTCACCTGGAAGCCAGTCCCCAGCCAGCCCACGTCACGGCACCCGCACTGGCCAGCCCCCCCCCCCCGTGCCAGGTCGAGCCCTGGAGCAGGGCAGGTGGAGCTGCCAGAAAAACAGGACCATGGAGGTGCAGCCCCGCGTTTAACCAGGAGGAGGGAATCCTGGCCCTCAGGCTCTGCCGTTCTGGTCTGGTTGCCAAGGCTGCATGGCTGTGGCCATGCAAGCATCTGGCTGCACTAGCCTGGTGCCTTCAGACATCCCTGAGGCCACCGGCTTCTGGGTGGGGGACCATGACCTTGTCCTCTAGGTGGGCTGTCTGCAGGGACTGCTGGTCACACCCTCTCCAGGGGTGGCCCACACAATGGTCCTGAACCCCACTGCCCATCAGCAGACCTCTGGTTTGAATCATTAGACAAAGAAAAGGTCATGGCGCCTCGCAGCACTAAGGGGCTTCCAATCAAGAATTTGCTTCCTGGGAAGCTCAGTATTTGCGTAATTTTTAGTAGAACTTGTCTGGATTATTTAAAAAAGTGCCAGGGTGCTGATCCCTCTGGAAATGGCAGAGGTGAACCTCACGAACGGGAGTTTATTCAATGCTCCAACATTGCCTGGGGTTTTCTGCTGCTTTGAGTGTGTGGGGTCTGCCCACCACGATCCTCTAAGCTCATCCAGGGGGACTGTTCTGGCGTCTGGGCTGCCCTGCGGGGGCGACATGTGCTGCGCTCCCAGGGTTGGGGAGGGGCAGGTGCTCTTGTGGGCGCTCACCTCGCAGAGTCAGAAGCTGCAGAGAGGGAGGCACGGGACTGCTCCCAGGGACCCAGAGGTCCCCCAGATCCTGGAGGCTGAGCCTCTGGAGCTTGGCTGTGCGGGTCCTGCTGAGGCTGCAGCTCGGCACTGGCCCATCAGCTGGCCTGCAGGCCCCCCGCCAGAGGTCCCAATTCTGAGGTCTGGGGTGAGGTCCCATGCGGTTGCTGACAAGTTCCCAGGGGCTGCTGCTCATCAGTCAGGCGCACGCTGCGACCCCAGGTCCCGGGCCCTGCCCTTCCTCTGGCGCTGGATGGGTAGTAAACCCGGCTCCTACCTTCTCCTCACGGGACACGCCGGTGCCTGCCCCCGTGTCAGTCTCTTTGGGCTGCATTTCCAGGACAGTGCGGAACAGCTTCTCCGAGGTGACTGTCAGGAACCCAATCTCCGCGTTGGGATGTAGGCCGTACAGGTAGGGGCTCTCAGGGGGCAGGTTCTCGTCGATGTATTCGTGGTAGCCCTGCAGTGGGGAGGCAGGTGAGCAGGTGGGGCTGTGCCAGCTGGACCCGTGTCCTCTGCTTACTGGGCTGTGCGTACCGGAACGTTCTGCCCACGTCGTGCTCTCCGCACTGACCCCACTGGTTCCCTAACCGCCCCCTTCAGGGCTGCTGCCCGGCTACAGGGAGGAAGCCCCACTCCCCTCCGTAGGCGCCGTGTGTCAAGCCCTCTCGTGTGGGCAGCCTGGCCGCCGGACTGATAAGGGGCAGCCCATCTGCGGGGGAGCCTGCGGGTAGGCACTGACCTTGTAGTCCAGGTTGGGGGGGATCTGGAAGCCGGGGGCCAGCAGGATCTCCCCCTCCAGCATCTCTGCCCGGACATACTCTGCCAGGTACGTCCTGCAGAGCCGGCGGTCCCAGTCGTCGGTGATGTGGCCGCCGTACATGATCTCCCCAAAGAGGTAGCGGAGGTCGTCCCAGGGCACCTTGGGAAGGGTGGCCGCCGTCAGGGTCTGCCTGGGTCTGCTAGCCTCTCCTTGGTCACCCCTGCCTCCTCCTCACCCACCAGGTCTGCAGGGTCACCTGCTGCCCTCAGTCACCAGGCCCAAGACCGGCCCTCCTCCCCTCTGGCCTGGCAGCCAGCCCCTCCTTGACGCTTTTCCCCCTGGGCTTCTGCCTCCGCCCCCACCACGACGCCTGGCCCTCTGCCCACACCTCCTCTCCGTGTTCTCCCTTGGTGGTGACCCCACCGGACCTCGTCTGCTGGCACTGCAGACTCCACAGACACCCCCGCAGCCTGCTGAGCCCCGACTTGTTCCCTCCACCTGTGCCCACCTTGTTCTTCATGCTCGGAAATGTGGAGCCACCCGTGACCTTTCCCTTCACTGGCCACTTCCAACAAGGGCAGTATCTCTATATGGATGGGGTGATGGCTCTTGGGACCAAAGATCTTTTTGGCCGTGTAGTCCACTTTGCTGTAACCTCAGACTCTGCCCAGTGGGTCTTCTGGTCCCACGGAAGTCGGCCTGGTTCCTGTTTTACTCCCGCAGCCTTGCCCGCATGTGTCCCAGAGCTCGGTGTAGCATCGCCAGCTGGAAGTAGCTCTCTCCACCACCACGAGGGCAGCGCGCACAAGTGCACCCCCTGGTGGCGGGTCTCTCCACGCATCCCACCCTTGGCCACTCCCACTGCCATCGGGCCTGCCTCTTCTTCCCCGTGAGGCTCGCAGCCTGGGATGCCCACTCTCAGCCGCCACGCACCATGGCCATACTCCTCCTCTGAAGCCAGCTGGAATGCAGCCTCCTCCCCAAAGCCAGAAATCCGCCCCCCGGCTCCCAGTCCCCAGCACAGAGCTGTTCTTGGAGAGCCGGTGCTGTCCAGCAGTGGACGCCATGTGCATGGTTTTGGATTTTCTAGCCGCCACTTAAGTAGAAAGATTGTTCCATCAGATACTCAGCAGAAAAGCTATTGATAAGGTATTTAAATTCTTGTTTTTGGTACCAAGCTTTTGAAGTCCAGAGTGTCTCTTGCTGTACCTCGCTGCACACATGGCTGTTTCCCTGAGGGTGGAGGCTCCTTAAGGGCAAGGTGTGCATCCGTGTGGTGTAACTTCTACAGGTCCTGCCTCGGTGGCACCTGTTTTCCCAGTACTGGCCGGTTCAAGTCCACTGAGTGAGCACTTGATGTATCAGTGGTGTGAGGTGCTCTCGTGGTTTTTTCACTTAAGACAATCACCTTCTCTTAATCGTCACCTCACGGCTCCGTCGTCTCTCTGGGCTTGGCTGTCTTGGGCGCGTGCTGAGCTGCGTTTTCTGCATTTTGCTTATGTGCTTTGGGGACAGCTTCTGTGTCTTCTGCGAAGTGGGGCTGGGCCCACCTCGTTCCGCCTCCCGCAGCTCCCAACAAGCTGTCTCCTGGGGGGACGGTTCTCCCCCGTGGGGTGGGGGCAGTGGGACCAGCCACCAGGGGCGGATGGGCTCCCCAGACGCTCATCAGAGAGGCGCTCCCAGGCCTCACCCTCAGAGTCCCAGTCGGTGTGGGAAGCACGGCCTGACTTCCTCCAAGTCAGGGGGATGGCATGGGCTATGGGACAGGCTGTGGACGTGGGGGACATCATCCAGGTGGTTCCGTAAGGCTGTGAGCTCAGACTGTGCAGGTCCAGTGCCTGCTCATACCCTGCTAAGCAGGTCGGCGGGTGTCACCTAGGCCTCACCCCGCTCGTCACCAGACCACACGGCATGCACTCTCTTGAGCAGTTTTTTTCTCATCTTGGGTTCTGTGTGTGTGTCGAAGGAGGGCAGTGTCTGCATAAACAAAGGTCCTTTAACAATTCTAGCAGGACTCCGGGGAGAGATCTGCTCTGATGGAGCTGATGTGATGATGAAATTCTTCTTTCACATCTCGTGTTTATTTACTTGCACGTGTGCGTCTTAAGATGTGCCACCAGTGTTCAGCTCGGACCCTGTTGTGAGCCCTGGCACCTGCCCCCTACCTGGGCGTCTCCGCTCTCAGCCTGTGGACTGGCCGCCTGTTCGGTGTCCTCAGGTGTCCCCTGAGGACGCTGGCTCCCCGCAGTCCATTGCAGCTGCCTGCACAGCACACGACATGTTTGTTTCAATTTTCAATAAAGATGAAAGGAAGCGGTCCATCTTTCCAGCAGATTTTTCGGCCTTCCCTCTAAATCTGCGTTCTGTCCCCAGACACTGACTGGCAAGGCCTGCAGCCGGGAGGCCCGTCCTCTCCCGGCTCAGAATGCCAGGGTGCTGGCCTTTGCAGGGGTACTCCAGTTCGGGTAAGGACAGGTGGATCCCTAAGGATACTGACCCCCACGGAGTCAGAAAAATAGCCAAACAGCTCACAACTGAGGAGATGGTGGCCATGGCATGGATGATCATCACTGTATCAGGTTGGTGGAACCACAGGGGAGACTCAGAATTTCAAGTTTTCTTTGACTTATGAAACCTATTCATTTCTTAAACATACGACAGAGGCCGAGTGAAGGGGAGGGAGAGCCCAAGGGAGGGCACACAGGAAGGGGAGGGCCTGACCTTCGCGTTGGCCTCCAGGTAGTTGTAGAGCACGCTGATGGAGATGGTGAGGTCCCCGTTGTTGAAGGGGTACGACCTGTTCCAGCCCTGGGCCCCGAACTTGCGCCTCTCGGCCACCACGGCATGGAAGTAGCACAGGGCGAAGAGAATGCACTTGAACTCGATCTCCTTGGTACACGTCTCCAGGGTGTCCTGCAGGAGGCACACGCTCCGGGTCAGGCAGGACCGGGGTCTCTCTTTGCCACCTGCTTCTGGGCTTGGGGGTGGAGCTGGGGGTGGGGTGGGGATCAGGGTTGGGGCATAAAGCCATGGACTCCTGTGGGCTGGTCTTTCAAGTCTCTCCCGGGCTGTAAAGGCTGGGCTAGAGTATGCCTCCTTGACCTTGCTTTCTGCAGAAATGCAGTTGTATTGCGTAAGTAGTACTTGTAAGTCAAGTTATCGGTACTGCTTCCTAGTAGGATGTTCCCCAGTACAGGACCATTGTGGGGGGGAGAGAACGGGAGAGGGACCCCAGAGGGCGAGAGATTGGGGTCCAGGAGAGGGACCCAGGTTGGGGAGGGATCTGAGAGAGAGAGAGCGGGAGAGGCAGAGGGAGGGGGGAGGCATAGGGGAAGGAGAGGGAAATGGATGGGAGAGGGATTCCCAAGAGGGGAAGGGATGGGATGGGGGGAGGGAGAGAGATCATCATAGTGAGAGGGAGCCAGAGAGGGACCCAGGAGGCAGAGGGATGGGAGAGGGAGAGAGATGGGAGAGGGATCCAAGGGGGAGGGACCTGTGAAGGGTAAGGAGAGGGATCAGGACCTGAGCGGGATCCTATAGGGATGGGGAGAGAAGTCAGCAGAGGGAAGGGGAAGGGAGGGAGAGGGATCCGAGAGGGAGCAGGAAGGGAGAGGCACCTGAGAGAGACCCGAGATGGACTGGACGGAAGAGGGAGAGAAATCACGGAGTGAGAGGGATCCAGAGAGAGATCTGAGAGGGCGAGAGATGGGAGAGGGATCAGGACTTGAGGAGGGGAGGGGTGGGAGAGAGGGATCAAAGAGGGACCCCAGAGGAAGACGGGAAGAAGAGGGATGAGGAGAAGGGTGGGAGCAGGAACAGGATGGCTAGAGTGATCCAGAGAGGGGTCCGGAGAGGAGGGAGGGGGAGGGGATGGGGAGAGAAATGGGCAGAGGGAGAGGGATGGGTAAAGGTATCAGAGCTGGACAGGGAGAGAATCAGAAGAGTGAGAGGGAGAGGGATGGAGGAGTGGGCAGATGGAGAGTGATCAGCAGAGGGGGTGGGATCTGGAGAGGAATCCGAAAGGGAGAAACCAGCCCCTGCCCAGGATGAGGACAGACAGCCTGCAGTGTTTGATTCTCTCTGGTCACATTGCTCCTCACCGGCCTCCCAGGCCTCTGTGGTCCTACACATGCTTCCTCTTGGCCCCCCTTATCTTCGGTGCCTCAGGTGACAAAGTCAGGGAGCCTCCAGCATCTCAGCAAGTCCCAGCCTCATCCCAGCCGCCCCCAACTCACATTTGCCAGGCAGTGACTGGCTGGTCTCCCCGCCACGGCCTCCCAACAGCCAAGGCATCTCCCCGAAGTCTGAGGCCCAGCAGCCCCTCTGTGTCCTCCCGGCCCCAGGGGCCCCACCACTCCCAGGCTAAGAGGCTTTTGCGTTTTCTGTTTCTTGCCCCTCAGGCGTTGGCCGTCCCTGCCTGGGCACCCGCTTCCCAGCCAGGGCTGTGTGCCCACTTAGCACAGGCCCGCAACTCCTGCAAGGGGGGGAGCAGCTTCCTGCGCACATCACCGCTCTCCCTCAGGGACTAATACTTCAGCAAAATCCAGTAACAAGGGAAAACAGAGCACGTGCTTGGATTCACAGCAGCATCGAATGGCTACAGAATCTACCACAGGCCCCATCGCTCTGTACAGGCCCCGGCACCGACCTGGGCAGGCCGCTCCGGGACCTGCACGGGCCCCAGGTAGAGCTGCGTGCCTTGGGGCTTCATGCACGTCCCCTCGCGCTGATCCCGCCGAGGCCCCCCAGTCGATGCTGTGCTCAGTTAATTCAAGGACGCCAGGGAAGACGACACAGAGGAAGTGACACACTGGGGACTGTGAGGTTTGGCTGGTGGCATGAGTCATGTGGGCAAAGACTCAAGCAGAGTGGACGGGCAGGCTGAGGCCCCTGCACCCCACGCTGGAGGACCAGTCACCCGGCGCTCCTGTAGGAGGCAGTGGGGGCCCACCTGCCGGGCCTGGAGCCAGAGCGCAGAGCCCTGCGAGGCTGGCGTCACCATCCCTGTCTGTCCCCGTCGCCCTCCAGCCCGTCCACCTGCACTCGGCCTTCCCATCGGTCTCACGGGGATGAGAGCAGGGGTCTGGGAGGCACTGTGGCCCCAGCCGGGCTGACGGTTGAGGAACCCCCTCGGGAGCTTGGCCACACCGAAGGCCTGGGCTGACGTGCAGGGCGTGAAATATAGAAGTAGGCATTTCTGTCTTACGAGGCTGTACGTGACAGAGGCTCCCACAGCCTTTAAATGACTGGCATCTTACACAGGTCTTCAGGAATCTGCCCGTTTTGCGGTGCGAGTGGTGTGCGTGCTGGGTTGGGGGGCTGTGGATGGGAGAGCGCTGGCCGGCGCGGGCAGCGCACGGGACGCAGGAGGCGGCCGCCCTACCTGGGTGAAGAGGTCCAGGGCCTTGTGCAGGTTGGCGTACATGCCTGTGGGTGGCTCATTGGTGATCTTGATGGCGTTTTCCAGGATGCCCTGGGGGATGATGTGGGCCTCTGGGCTCGGGGCTGGCTCGGCGCTGATGAGCACGCGGTAATCATGGTGGCTGCCGGTGCTGAACCGCTCCAGCCTCTTGTCCAGGGTGCTCAGCCACCGGGCCACCAGGTGGATGTTCTGCAGCCAAGACCGGGGCTTAGCGCCCGCACACCCCTCCCTGCCACGCCGTGTCCCCTGGCGGGGCTCTCCCTCATGGCACCCGCACTCCCCACCCCGCCGTCCACCCTCCCCCTGGTGCTGGGCACGTGGGGGAATTCCAGCGATGCCACCGAGGCCTCTGAGGTGCGTCTTGTGCTCAGTTATTTCAAGCCCTCCAGCCTCGTGGCAAGTCCTTCCCGCCCTCCCCCTGCATAAGGCTGAGATTATATGGTCCCCACCCCTCCTCTGAGAGGCCTGGGTGAAAAGAAGTAACTTGGAGAAGAGGGAGCCCTCATGCGCTGTTGGGGGGGCTGTCATCCGGCGCAGCCGCTACGGAGAACGGTCTGGAGGTTCCTCAAAAAATTAAAAAGAGAACTCCCCTATGATCCAGCAGCCCCACTCCTGGGCATCTAGCCCAAGCAACTGAAAACACTGAGTGGAAAAGATATGTGCACCCCTGTGTTCGTTCACAGCAGCGCTATTTACAACAGCCGAGACACGGCAGCAGCCCAAGTGTCCACCAACAGGTGACTGGGTAAAGAAGATGTGTTGTGTTTATACAAGGGAATACTACTCAGCCATGAAAAGAATGAAATCTTGCCAGTTGCAGCAACATGGATGGCCCTGGAGAGCATTATGCATGGTGAAGTAAGTCAGACGGAAAGACAAACACTGCATGATTTCACTTGCGTGTGGTATCTAAAAAGCCAGTGAACACACATGACAACAGAGAGAGTCACAGATAGAGAGAGAACAGACAGGCGGTTGCCCGAGGGTGGGGGGAGAGGAGAAGTAGGTGAGGGCGAACTTCCAGTTACAAAGTACGTGAGTCACGGGCGTGCGATGCACAGTGTGGGGAATATGACAGAATATCCTTGGTGACCGGCAGTAACTATACTTGTGGTGATCACTTTGTAAAAGAAAAGACCTGAACCTGAGGTCCCCACGTGGACCGAGGCCGGCCACACAGCAGGGTGTGCCGAGGCCAGGATGGGCAGCAGGACCGAGGAGGGGGCAGCGGGGGGTGCTTGTGTCCACTCAGGGTTCTTTGTTTAAAAATAGTTCCTCTTTAGGGGTACAACCAGCATAAACCCCAGCGTCTTTCTCACGGTTGAAGGACCCACACTTGTGCCCGAGCAGTGGTGACGGCCCCCTGGCCCCGTACCTGCAGGATGACCCAGTGTCCCTTCTCCGCAGCCACGTCCAGGGCGTTCTCCGCCACCACCTCCTGCCCCTGCCCCAGGGACACGTTATGGAGCTTCCCATTGTCTATGGTAAATCCCAGCTTTTTCCCTGAAGGAAGGCAAGGCAGGAACAGCGTGAGGACAGCTGAACGGCAACGGCGGAGGCTCCGTGGTCCCGCAGCGGGGAATTCCACACCCTCCCCCACCCTGCTTTTTAAATTGTAAAGCACATGTGCCATCAAATGTACCCTTTTAAAAGCCATCTTAAAGGGTACAATTCAGTGATGTTGAATAATTCACAATGTTGTGCCACCATCTGCCTGGTTCCAGAACATTTCCATCACCCCAGAAGGAAACCGCGTCCCCATTAAACACACACTCTTCATCCTGCTTCCCCAGCCCCTGGCAGCCACTCATCTGCCTTCTGTCCCTCCTCGTATCCGTTTCAGATACAAGGAGTCTCATAATACGTGGCCCTGTGTGTCTGGCTTCTTCCCTGTGGCACGAGGTCCGGCCTTGCTGGAGTGCGTGCCAGAGCGTCATTCCTTTTCAGGGCAGATGACGTCCACTGTATGGACTTACCTGTGATCGTCTGCTGTGGTCGCCCGCGGACATTTGGGTTGTATCCACCTTCTGGCTCTTGTGAATGAACATCCCCGTGAACAGGTGTTTGTTTGGACACCTGCTCTCAGCCCCTCTGGGAACATACCCATGAGCGGAACTGCTGGGCTGTATGGTGATCCCACATGTCACTTGAGGAGCAACCCCCAAACTGCCTTCCGCCACGGCCCCATCTCCCACGCCCATCAGCAGCGCACCAGGGCCCCGTCTCTCCACAGCCTCCCGACCACTGTCATGTTCATGGCGGCCCTGCTAGTGGGTGTGACGTGGCGTCTTGCCGTGGTCTTGATGCACGTGTCCCCAGGACCTGTGACGTGGACACCTGCTGCCCACACTTACCCAGGGCTTCCACGTCCTTCAGGGGGTCCACCCCCGGGGAGAGGATGAAGAAGATCGGAGTGGACGGGCTGCTCTCCTCGTAGGACTTGGAGAACTCGATGCTCCGGCCCTCCACGAACTTGCTGCCCATCTTCTCCTCCACGAAGTTCCTGAGGGACGTGTGCCAGGTCAGACCCGAGCGGGAGGGCCTCTTTCCCCGGCAGACTTCCTTAGGCAGGGAAAGGTCTGGGGCTGGAAATCAAGTCTTTACAGGGGCCTCCTTTTGGCAGGGGAAGGGAGCACGGGCGGGATTTGGTGGCGCTTGCTGTGAGCACCCTCTGCTCGC